AGAGAGAGAGAGAGAGAGAGAGAGAGAGAAGGACGAGTGGCAACCGCGTGCACGATGGACCGATCAAGCATACGGGGCCAGGCTCATTATAACCTTTATGACTGGTCATTTGGCCGGGCCCGAGTCTTAACACGAATGCCGACATGCAAAGGACGCATCATTGTCCGTTACCCCATCGCCGAATGGGTCTATCCGCGCGCCGTTATTACGGATCAACTTCTCTCCGCGCAAAAAACGATCGGTGCCCTGTGAGCAAACAAAGTTGCAGCCTGTTCCAGAGATGTTACGCGTGATGATCGTGCAGGATTTCTTCTCGTTTCGATCGTTTCGAGGCTCGAGAAGGTAACGGAGCGATGGAATATCCCAGAATAAATTGTCCGATTGGTTTTTCGAGGAACGAAATCGAGTCGAAGGGATTGAAATTGTTGAGGGATATTGAATGTTTAATGCGTTTGAAGAAATTGATGTCTTCCTCGAAGGGATAGGATTTAATAATAATAGACCAGAGAGTGAGTGGGCTGGAGGTATGATGACTTGTTTCGTCTTCGTTACGCGTTTAAAGAATATAATTATCGCTCGTCCGAGCTTTATTTTATAGAAGATAGGCGAGTAAACTTTTATTCGATTCGTTATCCAAATATAGAGGATAAACTATAATTGAATGATGCATTAATTATTCGTCCCGGTAGATAAATACAAGAATTCTATTGTACAAACGTAACAAACTCTGAATGTTTATTATCAATACGAGTAATTTATAGTACAAAATGATCAATATTGTATATTGCGCGTTTACTCGAGTCGAATATATCGAGGATAAAATAGATAATCACGTCGAATCTTTCCCGCTATTACACTCGTAACAATATCTATTCTTACATTCCTCTACCGAATGTTTTTCATTGAAACGAAAGTAGATAGATCAAGACCGGTATCCGACGCGAAGTTTAATAATGGCTCGGTATGATAATCGAGGTATAAAAGATCGAGTAATTTGCCGGCACGATTCGCCGAGGAATAGAACGAATGGAGATGCACGGTTGGTGCTCATGGACGTTACCGTTTCCCCTTTCGTTGTGCTCTCTCTCTCTCTTTCGTACAACGAAAAGCAAGCTCGGCCACGAGTTGTGCGAGCGCGCAAGTCAATTTACGGGAGAAAATAAGCACGTGAAATTGTTTCGTCTAAGGTAGCGGTTCGTTTAGCCTTGGATTCCGGGACGGTGGCAAAGGGGAACGAGACACGGATCGTTTCGCCTCCGCGCCCTGGGCCACTGCCTATCATGCGAATCCGATGGAATACTTCCGTGGATAAACGCGAACACGTGCCACCCTACGCCCTCCAGCCACGGATTATTAAATTAGACCGTTAGGTGGCCCCCGTGTCCCGCACGACCGTGATTACGGACCGCCTCGAACAGAGCGGTTCCTGCTGCTACTCTTTGCCCTCAGCGAAACGAGGGACTGCATTTTTTTCCTCTTTCCACGTATTCTCGAATCTTGTCTCGAAGCATCGCGCAACACAAGCGATGTGACGTCGCGTGAGGGAGGAAACGAGTGTATGCCTGAATTGCTTTCAATCTGTTCGAATTGAATTTTAAGCACCACGTCAGGCATAAGTAAGAAGAGTGTTCTTAACTACCAATTTTCTAGAATTAGCTAGAATATTTTTGAAATTACGCGACAAACAAGTAGGAACGAGTGGAACGAGGATCGTCGAGATTTCGACTTTAAATCCACGTAACACGATTTTCATTCGATCAACGATGAAATGATTATCCATGAAACTTTTACTTTCTTCGCTTCGAAAGTCGAAAGAAAAGCCGGTTACGGATCATAGTTTCACTATTATCATTTATCATGGGCACCGTGATGAAATCGGTTTTATCACCGGTTGCGTAACAATATCGATTTTCGATCCAGCGACGAACACGAAGACATGTCGCGTATACGCAGTTGGCAATCGATCACTCGAACCGGGCGATTGCTCGCGAGAAAAATCGAGAAAGATAGTGGTCGAGAGATGGTCGAGAACGGAGAAGGATCGATGAATCGTACGAGGGAGAATCGCGATTCTCGGGAGATCATGGTGCACGTTGGTATGCTCGCGTGCATCGAGGCACTCGATGAGAATGGCTCGCGCATTAAAACCGATAGAAAACGATATCGTTGTGGCAAACGATATATAGCGTTTGCAGGCGCACGCGCAGCGACTTCATTGATTCTCGAAGGGGAGGAGGGGAATGAGCAAGAGGGTTGCTTGCATGTGCGAACGTTTGTGCAGGGATCCGCGCACCTGTGCGCCTTCCGATTCTGTTTACGCGTTCGTATCTATAGCGTTTGATGAGGGGGAGAGGGGAGATTGGTCGAAAGAGAGCGAAAGAGGAAGAGAGAGGAGTGGAAAGGGAGAGATGAGTACAATAACCGAAGGTCCTTTCATTAATGCGACGAGAAAGGCGACGGAGGCAAAGGGTGTAGTAGGTAAACGACGGGGTAATCGATCGGAGGGGTTGTGCCACCCTTCATCACGATATTTTCTTTCCATTTTTCTCGTCAACCCCCTTCAATCCCCCTCCCCCTTGTTGCTACTCCTCTTTCTCGTCGACGTCTAAATCTGGGAGTAGCGGAAGCCTTGTTATTGGATGAATCGTGGCCACGAGGTTCGATAAATTGTTTCCTCGTTTCGTGTAACACGAACGGGGTATCCGAGGCGGAATTCGTCGAGGCTGATCGTTTAACGCTGTTTGTTTCTTTCTCCGTTAATAGACGGATATTGTGCCTCGAATAAAGGAAAACGCTTGTCCGCTTGTCGAACGAATTATCGGATAAAAGTGTTCTCGTCAGATGTATCGCGCAAAAATAATTTTCGGATCAGTCGCCGATATTCGCAAATTTCCTCGCCCATCATTCGAAGGATCATCTTTACGTATAAACATGAATGTAGGAACGGTTGAAATCGATATTAAGATCGGTGATTAATTGAAACAGAGACGGATACATACGGAGATTTCATCGTCCCTTTGAGTCGAACGCTCTCCTTATTCCCGATGACGATGCTTTTCTACGGTGGTTTCTGCCTCGTTCTCCTCTCGCACACGTACTTAGCGAAGAGAGACTCGGATCGAGAATCCCGACGCTTTTGATCTTCTTCCTCCTTCTTGCCGTACCAAAGTGACGTCCCTGTGGGACGAGACACGTCGGGACACGCGAAGGGACAAGGGTATTGACAATCCTTTAGACGGTACTTAGCACCACTTTTTTCTCCTTCGTGCATATTCGATTCCACGCGTCGCCATCCTCTCACGCACGCCATCTCTCTC